AAAAAAAAAAAAAAGAATTATCTATGAGATCAAATTGAGAACAGCAACTCAAAAGGTTTGATGGGAAGCCTAGGGGGCAGTGAGTTGAAGATAATGGTGATGGAATAATTTGGAAAAGGTTAGTGAGAATAGCAGCACAACTGGAAGAATATAATCGATGTCACTGAATTATACATGTAGAAATTTTTGAAATGGTGTAACTTTAGGGAACTCAAGGTCGAGAAGGGAGAGTGTTGAAATGTCGTGGGGCTGTTAACCAATGTCATAAAACATGAGTACTAACTGTTTAATGAGAAGCTTGTTCTTAAACCTTCATGTAAAGTACAATAAAAAAATTAAGAAAAAAATTAACAGAAGTTTTTGAGGTCTTCTCATAAAAATACAGGAATTATTATTTTACACTTTCTTATACCAAGCTGAAGGAGCCCTAATGGCACAGTGGTTAAGCACTCGGCTGCTAACTGAAACATTAGCAGTTTGAACTCATCAGCCTTTCTGCAAGAGAAAAGACCTAGTGATCTGTTCCTGTAAAGACTCTTATTGTTGTTAGGTTCTGTCGAGCCCGTTCCGACTCATAGCAACCCCATGTACAACAGAACAAAAAGATTACTGTAAAGATTACTGCCTACAAAATCCTATGGGGTAGTTCTACTCTGTCACATAGAGTTGCTATGAGTCAACACACAACAACATATCAAACTGAGATATTTATTCTTTTTTGGCCAAAAATATATATTTCTTAAAAGAATATACAGCAATGTAAGTTTTACTAGAAACCTGATCATCTTGTTCACTCACCACTCTGCCCCCGGCACATACAACTGAGCCTAGCACAAGGTAGGTGTTCTATTTGTTACGTGAATAAGCTCATTATTATTTTCCAATTTGCATGAAAGCAGAAAATCAGACTCCCAAAGTCTTGCCAGAAATAAAAGACAGTTATTACCGAACTAAGAGATCTGTGGTGAGATTGCCTGTTTTATTTTGCTGTCATTGTTAGAATTTTAGTAAGTTGGGACTTTGCTTTCTTTGCATTTCTAACTTTTCCACAGCACAGATAAATCAAAATTCTGCATGTTACCTGAGATCTACCTGGTAAATATACTTCAAAAATACCCTGTCCCTCTTCTTGATCCCCACTGTCACCACCCTGATCTAGGCCAGCATCATCCTCGCCCGGACTTCTACAACAGCTTCTTAACTAGTCCTCTTTTGCCCTCTTCCAACCCTTTTCCCTACACAGCTGGGAGCGTGAACATCTTAAACCATCAATTTGATCATGGCGCTCTCCTGCTTAAAAGCTTTAGCTGTTTGTCTGTATTTTTAAGATAAAGTTCAAAATCCAATGCCCGCATGACCTGGCTGCAGCCCCATTTTGAGAAACTCCTTCCCACCTCCCCAAAACGCCCTCACTATGCTCAGCCACACGGGCTGCATTTCAGTCTCTCCAACCGGCCTGGCCCACCTAGGACCTCCCCACAGGCTGCTGCCGCTACCTAGGCGGCTCTTCATCCCCTCTGCTTGGCCTGTTCTCACTCCAGTCACTCCCTCTGCAGTACCTTCCCTGCCCACCATCCCCCGCCCACATAAGGTCCCTGCCACAGTCTCTTCCAGCACACTGCACTACACTGTACTTTTAGAGCATTTTTCACAGTTTGTAATTATATATTTATTTGTGTAATTCTTTGCTCTATCTTTGTCTCCCCAGAGAAGTGGGGTTCATGGGGGCAGGGATTGGTGGCACAGTGGTTAAGTGATACGGCTGCTAACCAACCAAAAGTTCAGCAGTTCAAATCCACCACCCACTCCTTGGAAACCCTGTGGGGCAATTCCACGCTGTCCTCTAGGGTCGCTATGGGCCCAAATCGACTTGATGGCAACGGGTTTGGGTTTTTTTGGTTTGTATCTCTACCACCTACTACAGAGCCTGGCACCTATTTGGCACTCAACAAATGTTGAGTCAGTCCCAACTCATGGTGACTCATGTACAGCAGAATAAAATGTCCTGTCCTGCACCATCCCCATAATCAGTTGGGAATGCACAACAGATCATTGTGATCCATAGGGTCTTCACTAGCTGATTTTTCAGACATAGATCTCCAGGCCTTTCTTCCTAGTCTGTTTTAGTCTGGAAGCTCTACTGTAGCCTGTTCAACATCATAGTAGCATGGAAGCCTCCACTGATAGACGGGTGGTGGCTGCCCATGAGGTGCATTAACTGGGAATCGAACCTGGGTCTGCTGAATGGAAGGTGAGAGTTCTACCACTGAACCACCACTGCTCCCATTCAACATATGTTGTTGTTAGCTCCTGTGGAGTTGGCCCCCAACTCATGGTGACCCCTTTTGTGACAGAATAGAACTGCTCCGTAGGGTTTTCTTGGCTGTAATCTTTTTTGGAAGCAGATTGCCAGGACTTTTCTTCCATAGAACCATGAGGTGTGTTCTGACTGCCAACCTTTAGGTTAGCAGCCTATGGCAAACCTCTTGCACCACCCAGGCTCACTCAACAAATACAGCTAAGTAAATGAATGACTAAAAATAGCTCAATGCCATCCTCTCCCAGGAAGCCTTCCTTGCTTATGCCCAGGCCACAGTAATCTTTCTTTTTTCAGATATCCAGTAACACTCTTGTGCTATTTTATTTTGTCCTGGACTATGTACTGCAGTGTAGTGGGCATTGTTTCATTTTGTGTTTTTCTACAACTGCTTTGCTTTCCCAATTAAAATGTTTTTCAAGAGCAGGATCTGGCCCCAGATTATTTCTACAGCCCAATTTCCTTTCACGTTCCCCTCATTTCCCTACAGGCACACTGGCCTCTTTGCTGTTTCTCTCACACTCTCAGCACACCCCTACTCAGAGACTTTGCATTTGCTCTTCCGTATACTGGAACACTCCTCCCCTAGATATTTAAATGGCTCTTTCCTGTTCGATTCAGCCTCTGCTCAAATGTCACCTCCTCAGATAAACCTTGTCTCCACTCTCTCTCCTCTGTAATAACTAATCCTGTGTGATTGTTCTTCCTACCTCCCATGACATGACACTTTTACACACCCACTTGTTTACTTGTTTACTATCTGGCTCCCTCTCCCAGGCCCAGGAGGATATGTGACTTTGTTGGTGTGGTTCCCTGTGTGTCCCTGGAACAGTGCCTGGCATACAGTATTTCCTCATAAATATTTATTCATTGCCTGGAAGTTCATTCCCAAAGAGAGTCCAAAACTAGCCAGATTGAAATGAAATATGAATATATTACAGCTGGCTTAAAAATCTAATCAAGCATTCACTTCAGGATCCTAACTCAGGGAAGGAACTAGGTGTTCCTCAATTGCTTCTGATATGGAGGCAGCTAAAGGGAAGGAGAAAGTTGGTGAAAAAGAAGTAGAGAATAGTGGAGGAGAGAAGTAAACTGAGTTGGATGAAAGGGGAAAATATTATCATTGGAAGGACTTGAAATCGTTTCAGCAACAATGTGACAATCAGAAAGTGAGAGTTCCGACTGGGTCTTCCCTCTGGCAAATGTGGCTCTGAATGAAATGCAGTCTCTGTGCTGGAAAATCTCCTCAGAGTTCGTGTATTAGATGAGATATGCCATGAAAAGGTATCAACCAGAGAAAACTTGCAAAAAACTTAAAAAAAAAAAAAACAGTTAAGAGAGAATTATGGAGGATAGTAAACAAAGTGCATGCCAATGAGGAAAACCGTTATAAAAGTCTCACAATGAAAGTGAGAGAATATTTCTTTTGTCCCTGGATGACACAGTTTGCGGTTGCCCATTAACCTGAAGGTTGGCAGTTCGAACCCACCCAGCAGTGCCATGACAGAAAGGCCTGACCATCTTCTTCTGTAAAGATTATATCCAAGAAAATCTTAGGGAGCAAGCAGTTCTACTCTATAATAAATGGGGTTACCATGAGTCGGAATTGACAGCAATAGATTTGTTTTGTTTGTTTGTAATATTGCATCATAAATGGACTGGTTTGTCCAGAGCTCTTAAAAGGAAAAGGGGTTAAGAGGTTTGCACATTGAAAACCACCCCAAAACTGATAACTTCAGGTTTGTATACACATGAAAATGTAGTGTGGGTGTTAAGGCTTTGTAATAATACAGCAGTAAGAACTGTGATGCATTGGGGTGGGTAGGAGGTTTTCTGGAGGTTTTCTGTTTGATTGTCTGACTCAGAAAGCAAGCTCTGAATCAGTTCTTCCTCTGTACTTCGTCGCCTGATATGAGATTAGAATTATGTCGGCAATTTAATACTCCCATTCTGAGGGAGAAAACAGGCATGTGTACACAAATAACAAGTATAGTCTCAGAATCTGTGATCATCTGAAATGGGCTGGCTTCCACCATTAGCCATTCAATAGACTTACTTGGTTGATCAAACTTTTCACATATCCAAAAATTAACTTTTACCAAAAATGATTCTTAAAGTTCTGAGTTTATTCTTTGATAAACTTAAAACCCAGGCTATAAAAATATCTAACAATAAAGCTGAGAAAAGTTCTCCTTTGTTGTTACGGGATTAATATTTACATCACAAATCAAGATTTAGAAAAGAAAACAAAGTACGCTCAAAGTAAAACTCACAAGTGAAGAAAATCTGGAGGGCGGGGAAGGAAAGCAGAGCAAACACTATATTAAAAAATATATGCATTCATCTTTTCATTCATTATCTCTCTCCTTCTGAATAAGCTAACCATACATTATTTAGAAAAAGAAAGTGTATGTTTATTGTAATTATCCTTCCCAACAAATATTCTTATGCAAACTATGAAGCTTTTTTGTATAATGACAAACTCAAAGCACATAAATTTTACCTGTGGTCTACTTGAAAAGCCCATGCAATTGGAGGCAAATTCTTTTCTATAGCACCTTGGAGTTCCAAAAGTTCTATTAGTCAGGCGACATCTTCTCTCTTCCTGCTTCTCCTTCACTAAAATGAAACTTACTGAGCTAGAGAAAGAGAAAAGAATGCAGGAGATCAAAGGGTAAATGTTTTCTTCACTGATTTTTAAAGTCAGCTATGAAATTTTGCTTACAAATGGGCTTCTTGATCCCTACCAACCTTTGAAAAAGTAGAAAACAATAGCAAAGGGATTATCCCAGCATTAAAAAAATTATATATATATATATATGTATATACATATATGTATATACATATATATATATGGGATTATGTTATCATTTTACTAATTAAATTCTCTTGAGCAAAATTTAGCATTTCTGCCCAGAGATTTATGTCACTGTGGATTCTTTAAAGACAAAGCAGGCTTAGAATATTTGGAAGATACTTATGGCTCTATCATGATATGCAAAAGCTTGGATAAGAAAAATTCAAATGATTCTATGATTGTCTGATTGTTCATTTAATAATCAATGGTTGCAAGACTTGCTTACGCACCATGAGACGCATATGTGACTTTGCTGTTCCAGTCACTAAACAATGTATAATCCAAGAATAAAAAATCCAAGGTCCAATTAATTTAGATTATCAAAAATATGTGTATATGTATAAATGTCTAGCCCAATTCCTTCATACAAGTTAGTAAACATTGATTAAATGGCAAAATCTATATGTATATGCATTTTACAGGAGTCACTGAGAACCAAAGAAGTAAAGTTTTGCTCAACGGCATAGAGCTTGTTGGTGACAAGTCCAGGCCTCCTGACTACCTGTGCGGTGCTCTTTCCAGCCCCCCACCAACCACATCATCCCTAACTGGCATTAATGCATTTCTACATGTGCGCCAATAAAACATGTCATAACCCTGGGTCATGTTAGAGCTTGAGAGATGAGTCCTAGGACTACTGACCTCTGAGAATCTGACTGCTTACCCTCAGCCAAGAAAGAGGCCAGGGCCCTGAGCCCTATCCCTAGACACCACAGACAGTTACCCATCAGACATCTCCAAGGCAACTGAAGAGGACTTGAAGCAGGTTCCTTAAACATGTTTGCAGTCTCATAGATGCTGCTGGAAGGTCCAGGAAAAAGTTTGTTTTGAGCAGAACATATAGAACATGGCACTATAGACAGAAGCACCACGCCATCCCTCCACAGCAAAGACCCAAAAAACTAAGTGCAACAGAGACAAAGGTCAGTCCTGGAACCCTAAGAGTCAAATGAAGAGATAAAGAACTCAACCAAGCACCAAATGGAATAAGAAACTGATAGAGAACAGAGAGCGAGGAGAGTTACAAGCGGAGGTCCCCTATCAGCTAATGCAGCACAGATCCACCATCTTGGACCCCTGTTGGAGATCAGTGTACAGAGAGTACGGGAAAGCAGATTCATGGAGCTCCCACAAGGAAACAGAGCACCCAGTAACAAGTGAGACACCCACCCCCATCCTGCCTCCCCACCCCCACTCAGCATTCGTGGCTTCCCAGCTGGCTGATCCATGGCTTCCTGGGGGGCCAATTCACTGCTTCCCAGCAGGCTGATTTGGGGCTTAGCAGTATGTCAATTCCCAGCTTCCCAGCGGGCCAATCCACCGCTTCCCATCCAGCCACAACCATGGCACAAGAGGCAAAGGTTCCATGCCAAGCTGATTCACCCCACCCACAGCAGCTGGCTTCTTCACTGCCATTTCTTTGTTGATGGTATTGTCTTCTTTGGCCTCTTTTAGTTTCTTCCCTGCCTCTGAGCTCCTCCCCCTCCTTTCTCTGTAACACCTGACTCCGTATGCCATCGTTGCTTCTTCTTGACAGGCTGTGAAGCACTGCTCAGCTGGGGAACGGCTTCCCTGGTCCACACCACCACACTGGTGGAATCCCTGGGGGCTTTTTATTGTTTGTTTATTTTCTCCTTCTTTTTTCCTTTTTATTTTTCTTCATTTCTCAGTTTCTCCTCTCTCTACTTACCTTCTTTTCCTGTCTCCTGAATACCCGGCACTGTGTATCATCTCCACACCTTCTAGCTGGGCTATACTGAGTGGTTTCGGAGCCACTTCCCCACTCAGTGAAGCTGCACCAGTGCGATTGGGGTGAGGGGGGCTTTTTTTCCCCTCTTTTTCTTCTTCTTCATTTCTCAGTTTCTTGTCTCCTCACTCCTCACAATGGCAGGCTCCCTCTTTTTTTTTTTTTTGCCCCTGTTTCTCTCTCCTTTGTCTCTTCTTTTCCATAACCAACCTAGCTCCACACATCACAACCTCCCCCTTCCCCTCCCTCCTGCCTATCTGCAGCATGTGCTGATTATTGCACTCTCGAGCAGCACATGCATGGCCTACTGGAACTGGCCCTGAACTGAGCCCTGGCTGACCTTGTCGGCCCCAGTATGTACCACAAACAACCTATCCCAGGCCCTCCCCTTCAGCTCGACTTGCCCTGCTGCACCATAGCTGAGCTACTTGCCATGCTAATTGGACAAGGAGGTGAAAAATATCACATCTACAGATGAACAAACAAAAAAGAAAGCACAGCCCACCTGCTCAGATAACCAAATAAAACAAAAAAGCAGTAGGAAACAAACAAATCTGCAGTCAAAAAATGAAGAAAATAATTACTGAATGTCCTGAAGACAGCAGACAATATCAAAACATATAAAAAACAGGACAGGATGGTTCCAGTAGGCATCCAAAATAAAACATCACATGACTTTCCAGTAGAAGAAAAGTCACTAGAACTACCTGATAGGGAATTCAAATTGGTAATATTCTGAGCTATCCAAGAGTTGAAGAAAAAAGCAGACAAAAATGAGGAAAAAATAGACAAATTCATGGAAAAGGCAGACAAATTCATGGAAAATACACACATTTAAAAACTGGAAGAATTCAGGAAAATAATACAGGAACAAAATGTTAAAATAATTTCACAACTAGAAATCATATAAAAACAATAATTAGGCATCCAAAAGATAAACAACAAGGTTTCAAAAATGGACTGTGTCAAAAAAGGGCTGAGGAACAGGTTTGAAACAATGGAAAACAGGATTAGCAAAATTGAAGACAAACACTTGGATACAACATCGTTTGCAGAAAAATCAGAAAAAGGAACAAAGAAAAATGAAGAAACCCTGAGAGTTATGTGGAATACAATCAAAAGTAAAAATATGTGAGTTACCTGAGTTCCAGAACAGGGAGAGAAAATGGAAAACACAGAGAGGATCATTGAAGAATTGCTGACAGAAAACTTCTCTGATACAATGAAAGACAAAAAGCTGACCATCCAAGAAGCTCAACAAACCCTATATAGGATAGGTCCCCAAAGAAAATCACCAAGGCATACCATAATCACACTCGCTAAAACCAAAGACAAAGAGAGACTCCTGAGAGCCGCTCGAGAAAACCAAAAAGTCACATACAGAGGGGAAACAATAAGACTAAGCTCTGATTACTCAGCAGAAACCGTGCAGGCAAGAAGGCAATGGGAAGACACATATAAAACCTTGAAAGAAAAAAATTGCCAAGCAAGAATAATACATCCCACAAAAATCTGGTTTAAATATGATGGTGAAATCAGGACATTTCTAGATTAACAGAAATTAAGAGAATATGTAAAAACCAAACCAAACTAACCAGATTATTAAAGGGAGTCCTTCAGTTTAAGAACGAACAACAGCAGACCACAGCCTGAATCTAGGACACAAGATCATACCAGCCAGGTACCAACCTAGGAAATGAACTCTCAAGGACTATTCAAAACCAAAAGATTTACAACAGGGAACCAGAGAGGTTAATCTATAAATGACAACAACATCAAAACAATAAAAGAGGGAAGAAATGGTGTAGCTATAGAACTTTGTAATGGAGAGGAAGGTAAAGTGATACCAAGTAATAAAAGACTGGTTCAAACCTAGGAATATAAGGGTAAATTTCAAGGTAACCACAAAGAAAGTTAATAAATCTATTCATCAAAGTAAAGAAGAAAAACATAAAGCCTCAGCAAAAACAAAACCTAAAAAAACAAAAGAAATGAAAAAAAAATCCACAAACAAAAAGAATTCAGCACAGGAAAGTAACAGAAACGAAGAAATCATCAGCATCACAATAAAAGGCACTACAAGACAACAATAAACTCACAGCTGTCAATAATTACACTGAATGTAAATGGCCTAAATGCACCCATAAAGAGACAGAGAGTGACAGAATAGATTAAAAAAACAGGATCCATCAATATGTTGTCTGTAAGAGACACACCTTAGAAACAAAGACATAAATTTATTAAAAATCAAAGGATGGCAAAAAATATATCAAGCAAACAGCCACCAGAAAAAGAGTGGGAGTGGCAATACTAATCTCAGATAAAATAGACTTTAAAACAAAAATCCACCATAAAAGACAAAGAAGGGCACTATATAATGATTAAAGGGATGATCCATCATGAAGACATACCCCTAATAAACATCTACACATCCAATGACAGGCCTCCAAAATACATCAAACAAACTCTAACAGCACTGAAAAGAGAAATTGACAATTCCACTGTAATAGTAGGAGACCAACACGCCACTCTCAGTAAAGGACAGAACATCTAGAAAGAAACTCGGTGAAGATATAGAAGATCTAAAGGCCACAATCAGCCAACTAGAATTCATACACATATATAGAACACTCCATCAAACAGCTGAAAAGTACACATTCTTTTCCAACTCACATGGAATGTTCTCCAGAATAGACCACATCTTAGGCCACAAAGAAACCCTTAACAAAATGCAAAACACTAAGATAATACAAAGTATCTTCTTTGATCACGATGCCATCAAAGTAGAAATTAACAAGAAGAGTAAGGAAAAAAAATCAATTACATGGAAACTAAATAACACCCTACTTAAATACCACCGGGCAATAGAAGAAATCAAAGATGGAATCAAAAAATTCCTAGAATCAAATGAGAACAAAAACACATCATAGCAAAAACCTTTGGGACACAGCAAAGGCAGTGCTCAGAGGTCAAGTTATACCAATAG